TTTTAAGGGAGTTTTTTTTTTCCAAGAATGTAGCTCCGTAAATGTGTAGTTTTTTTTTGTTTGTTTTTATTTTTTTTTTTGAGATGGGTCTTGCTGTGTTGCCTAGGCTAGACTCAAACCCCTGGGCTCAAGTTTTTTTTCCACCTTAGCATCCTGAGTAGCTGAGACTACAGGCATGTGTCACCATGCCCAGTTTTTTTATACATTTTTAAAACTATTGCCATGTCTGATTCTGTTGGCCTGGCTCTGGCAGTTTTTTTGGGGGTTGGATGGTTCGAAAGGATGGCGTGTGTTACCATGGCAATGTTCTTCTTTTTTTTGGAAGGCCCCAGAGGTTGATCCTGCACCAGTGACTGTGTTTTCGTGGTTTTTCTTTTTTTGTGCTGTAGGGTTCCATTCCATTACTCCTGCTGAGTGTTTCCAGGAAGCTGGGTTTTTTTGGAGACTCCAGGTCCCTTCTTGATCCAGCCTATAGATGAAGTGAACTTCCTTTTTTTTTTCACTGCCCAGTTGGCTTAGGGCAATGGATTAGATGAAGCTAATTTGGGTACCATTTTTTTGGCGGACGGCAGGGGCTTCCCAAGGCTACAGGGAAGGTGCTTTCTGCTCCCTTTTTTTTTAGCTCTTCCCTTGCAGCACTGTCTGGATCCTTAGCCAGGGCAGGCCTGCCTCTCCTGCAGCCTTTAGCATGAAGGTTATTACCTCCATGGATGCGAGGGATAGCAGAGATGTCTTTTTTTCGTGACTACTGTCGGATCCCTTTGTTGCTGTCTTCTCAGGGTTCTCCTTGAAGTTTTTTTAGACATCCTGGCGTTCTTCCCCTAGGGTGTAGCACACATGGAATCCAGGTGGCTCCAGCTCACCAGAGGACAGTTCAAGGTGTGGCTCTGCAGCCCTTGTGTGGTTTGAGTTCTGGTCGCTCCAGGCCCTCTCCTTTCCTATGTAAATCTTTGCTGTAGAGATAGTTGGATTATTTTTTTCAAATTTGAACATCAAGAGAGAAAGTGATCAATTTTTAAAGAAGGAACTACTGAAAACTGCTTCCCTGAAGAATTTTGCTGGGATTAATTTTATAGTCACATCAGACCAGGTGCAAAGCTGTTGTTTACGAGTTGGCCTAAGAATGCAGGTGGGAAGCTGGGATAGAGACAGGTTTTTTTTGGGACAGTATGTTTTGCTTTTTTATCTGGGTTGGTCAATTACACTTTGACTTTTTTTTTGCTTATTCCAAGTTTGTGGGAGCCTTAGCATATTATTTAGGAATTAAATAAGATTTTTTTTCTCTTCTGATGGTGGGTGTTACTGAGGGGGACCCATTTTGTCATGGGTCCCCTCTGGATGCGTTAGAGGGACCGGAGATAAGAAGAGATTCCTAAACACAAAATGTCCAGACTTGGGAGGTCCAAGGAAAGAGATGAACATTAACCAAGTCTGTATGTGCTGGATGCCTGACTTTTTTTCTTGATCCTTGAATATCCAACTAGTACTTTTTAGGCCCATTTTACAGGTGCAGTTTTTTTCTTTCAAGAGGTATAGAAATAGGCCGGTCACAGTGGCTCACACCTGTAATCCCAGCACTTTGGGAGGCTGAGGTGGACGGATCACCTGAGGTCAGGAGTTGCAGACCAGCCTGTTTTTTTTGGCGAAACCCCGTCTCTACTAAAAATACAAAAATTAGCCAGGCATGGTGGTGTTTTTTTTTAATCCCAGCTACTTGGGAGGCCGAGGCAGGGGAATCGCTTGAACCAAGGAGTTTTTTTTTGCAGTGAGCAGAGATTGCACCACTGCACTCCAGCCTATTTGACAGAGCGAGTTTTTTTTTCAAAAAAAAAAAAAAAGAGGTATAGAAATAAAGTGACCCACCCAAGGCACCTTTTTTTGTTAGGGGGAAACTTCTATCTCATCTACATAAAATATTGTCTCCTCATCAGATTGCCTTCTTTCTCCATTCCTTCCCACAAAATTTTATCTCCTTCCTTTTCCAGAAATATCTTTTTTTTGGTCTGAAACAATTTTGAACAGGGAGGCCTACTGGCCTTTAAGCAGCTAAGCCTCCAGAGCTATGCCTCTGGATTCAGGTGATCCTGATCCAAATGTGGCGGACTTCACTGTATTTTTTTAAATGGTAAAGATGGTGCATTCTATATATGTATTTTACCTGAATTTAAAAATTTTTTTTTACTATCCCATGATACTCTTTTTAAAAACTGTTTTTTAAATTAAAGTTTATCACTTTTTTTGAAATACACAGATTGTAAATGTTAAGGTTTTTGGTTTTTTTGAGACGGAGTTTTTTTTTTATTGCCCAGGCTAGAGTACAATGGCACAATCTCAGCTCACCGCAACGTCTGCCTTTTTTTTTCAAGCGATTCTCCTGCCTCAGCCTCCTGAGTAGCTGGGATTACAGGAATGTGCCACCACGCCCGGTTAATTTTGTAGTTTTAGTAGAGACGGGGTTTCTCCATGTTGGTCATTTTTTTCTCAAACTCCCGACCTCAGGTGATCCAGCTGCCTGGACCTCCCAAAGTGTTGGTTTTTTTGGTGTGAGCCACTGTGCCCGGCCAAATGTTAAGATTTAATGACTTAATAAGTTGAACACACTTCTATAACTACTGCCCAGATCAACAAATAGAAACCCAGCTATATTCATTCTTTTTTTTCATTTTATTTATTTTTACCTATGTGAACCTCTGGTTAGAAGTGTCTTGTAACTGTACATCCCAAATCCAGATCTTTGCTGAGTAAAATTTTTTTAAAAGTCTAACTGACCTATTTTTTTTTTTGTCCCATCTCAACCTGTCATGGCAGTATTTGAAGGGCCCCGTAATGCTGGTTTTTTTTGGGTCAATAGTGAGCAAGTTAGTCATTGTTCAGCCCGTACAGATGGCCTGAGATGTCAGAGGGGGTGGGATATCCCCCAAAAGAGGTAAAATTGATTCCCGAGAGAGGTTAATTTTTTTAAAGTCATAGAACTTCACAGCTCATCTCATAAGTGAAGCTTGGGGAGGTTGAATTTTTTTCCCACAATCTCACAGCGAGGAAGCCGGACCAGCAAGTGGCTTCTCCTGTACACTTTTTTTGAGATATGCACTATCTGAGACGTCCCATTGAAATGGGTTCTGACCAGGAAGGAAGCCATTGGCAAGAGGGCCTGGTTGGGGCCAGTGAGGTCACCTCCCAGCGTCACCACTTAGGGACACTGACCACTAGCTGTGGGGCTCGGGACCCTACATCCCAGATGCCCTTTGCCCCCCATCTGCTTTCTGCTCTTGGATGGGCTGCTGGTGAAGAAACACTGCTGTTCGCCCATCGTGGTGTGTTGGGAAAGCTACTGGGTGAAACCAAGACCTATCTTTGCCAGAACCTATTGTGATTTTTTTTCCCCTGCCAGTGTGGCCTGTATTCTCCTTGGACTACAAAGTCCGAGGTCTGAAGCCATCTCTGCCACCCACCAGCCACCGCACCTCAGGCAGGTCCTGACCCTAACAACCTCTTTTTTTTGCCCCGGTGTTCAGCTCTCTCATACCTGGGGGAAACATGGCGAACTGCAAAGTTTTTTTTAATAACAATATTTATCTAGCAATCCCTGTACGCCAGGCTCAGTGCTAAGTGCTGCATGCACATCTCAGTTCTTCCCCGCAGTAGCTCATGGGAAAGGGGCTTCTGTTATCCCTTTTTTTCAGATAAAGGGACTGAGGCTCGAAGCACAGTAAGTGCTTGGGGTCACAGGGCCTTTTTTTTGATGGGGCCGTATTCAAACCAGGGCAGAGTGTGTCCAAGTGACCCTGCCCAGTTTTTTTTTAGAACCACTCAGTCATCCAGTCATTATTTACTGACTACCTACTATGCGTCATTTTTTTATTTAAGTGCTGGAGAGACAGCTGAGAAGGAGCAGGCGAAGCCCACTTCCTCTTTTTTTTCACATCCTTGAGTTGGGGTCCTCTGGGGAAGAATTCTCTTGGAGATGTGTCTTTTTTTTTTTTGGAGAAAAGCCTGCTTCCTTTCTCCCCAGATTCCCTCCATGCGGCTTGTTCTTGATCTTCAAAGCCCCCTGACATCCCCAAAGACTCCCCTTAAGGAGCTGGCGGCTGACTTTTTTTTGTCCCTGGGTCTGCGTACCTCGCTTGCGGGGACTGCCTGCGCGGAGCAGTTCTTTTTTTGTCTGTTCCCTTCCGGGCCCTGGCCTCGCCCCCAGCCTCCTGCCCTGTGGTTTCCCTGCAGCCCCTTTCCTGCTGGAGGGGAGGACAGGCGTCAGCCCCGCAGCTGTTTGCTATTGAAGGACCCGTCTTGCTCCTGGTGCACCTTGTCGGGCCAGCTGACACCACTCATGCCATTTTTTTAAGAGGCTCGGGGCCCATGGCCACCCCGTTCACATGGCCCTGCCACCTCCTCGTTTTTTTGTGCCTGTTATTCTGTACATCTCCACACACAAAGAGCCCGGGTGCAGTTGCTGTTTTTTTGCTGCTGGAGTGGGGAGGGCAGGCAGCCGCGAAAAGCTTTTCAGAAAGGCCAGGGCGGAGGCAGGAGTCACCCAGGTGATCGGAGCGGTTCCCCCGGGACCCCAGCCCAGGCCCGCAGTGAAAGGTTACTGCTAATTGGCGAGCTTCTGATGGGGCCGCATCTATTTAGCACTTTTTTTTCCCCAGAGACTTCCAGGATGGTCTTGGCACAGCGTGTGATTCAAGAGCTCCCCTTTTTTTTCTGGCACAATCTGTCTGAAATTGTGAACATGGAGCCTCTTGGTTTTTTAATTTTTTTTTTCGTTGTCGCCGTTCTCTGCCCATTGTCGCTGGTAGATTTCATAGCTGCAGCCTTTTTTTCTCTGGCGTCCCCCCTCCAGGGAGCCCCCTCGGCAGGCTCCCTCCCCTCCCCACCCCAAGACCCACTGTCAGAGGCATTGCCCGTCCTGAGTCCTGACCCGTTGCCCCGGCCTCAGGGCCCAGTTCTCACCCCGCCATCATCCCTGACACTAACACAGCTTGTCCACCCTGTCTTTTTTTGCAGATGGCCTGTCGGAGCCGGAGGGCATCTCTCTGAAGCGGGTCGCTGTGGTTTTTTTTTTCTTTGACATCATCTACTCGATGCATGTGGAGAGCTCAGCAGAGCCAGGCAATTTTTTTAAGCACGCTGGGCAGAAGAAAACCTACCGAGCGGTGAGATTTCTGTCTCTTTGCCTCCACTGGCAGCCCCAGGCCTTGGCAGGAGGCCATGGGCTCCGCACATGTTGGGCTGGGGGGGGCGGGGCAGGGAGCTGAGGCGTGATGAAACGGCCTTTCGGGATCTAGGGGGGCACAGGGCAAGGGCACGGCAGCCAGAGATGGCTCACAGGGCGAAGGGAGGGGATCTGTGGTCTGAGCACAAAGGAAAAGCAGGTTGAAGGGGGTGAGAGGGAGGGAAGGAGAGGGATGAGGGCAGGAGGTGCCCTCCTCTTCCCCGTTTCTGCTTCACTTGCTCCTACCTGACACCGCCCCCCCAGCCCCCTGCAGCTGTTCTGGGGATGGGGTGCTGGGGGCAGATAATGAACAGAGGAACTTTTTTTTCCATGGCATGGCATTTACCACATGCCAGGCCTGTCCTGAGCTCTTCCTATGTGTGAGCTCATCCTGTGAAGTCAGGACTGGGAGTTTCCCAGGGGAAGTCGAAGGACCTGCTCCCCACCCTCCAGGAGATCACAATTGGATTTGGGGTGGGGAGGCTGAGAGCAAAAACAAGTTTTTTTAGAAGCAGAAGTGTCTCCAAGGCTCGCTTTGAGAGAGAAAGAACCCAGGCTCAGGGGCATTTAGCAAAGGCACTGCCAGATGCAGATGAGCCTGGGGGGCTGTGTGGAGAAGGTTTTTTTTGTGCTGGCATTCTATGCTTTGGGGAGGCATAAGGGCAGAGAAGGCAACCTAGGGGCAGGGAGCATCACAAATGCGGGAGAGGTGGAAATAGATGGAACTGGTCAAACCAGAGTTTTTTTCTCACCCTGCAGAGGGACCTGCCTGTGTTCTGATCCATCCCCTGCTGACCCACATGTGAGCCTATCCACGGCTCATGCACAGCTCTGAACCATTTGTCCAGTGCTCAGGGAGGTTTTTTTAGCCAAGCCCTTCGTGCCCATTCAAGCCTTGTGGCAGTCCTGTGACCGAGGCATTTTTTTCACATTTCACAGTTAAGGAAACTGAGACCTGGAGATTTGGGTCACCTGTCCAAGGTCAGATGGCAGCTGAGTTGAAATCAGCTGGTGTCCTCCATGCTGACTTTCTCTGGAGCTTTTTTTAATGTGCCCTTCTGTGTCTGGGCTTCCCCACCCAAGGCAGATGTGAAACTCCCCACCCCAAGTTCTTTGTATAAATAGCTTTGGACTACATGGAGGTGGCTGTATAAGTCTATTTTTTTTCCTTATGGTCTTTTTTGTTTGTTTGTTTTTGTTTTTGTTTTTAATGCAACCATTTTTTTTGTCCTTGTCCTCAGAAAATGGCTTTTGCCCTAAATGGATTTTAAGGATTGACCTTTTTTTCAAGGGCCTCAGAGAGGTGAGGTATCTGCCCAGGGAAGCAGGAGGTGGTGATGGTCTCCCCTCCCCTCCTGCTTCTCAGTCTGTGTGCTCTGGGAAGTGGCTTGTGGGAAGGGTTTTTTTAGGGTATTTCCACCAGAGGGCCATAGAAGAAGGAAGAGGCACCCAGGCTGGGGTTTTTTTGGGCCCCTTGGCACTGAGAAGACCACATTTTCTCAGCATTAAGTTTACCATTGTGGGTGGGGCACGGTAGTTCACACCTATAATCCCAGCACTTTGGGAGGTTGAGATGGGAGGATTGCTTGAGGCTGGAAGTTCAAGACCAACCTGGGCAACATAGCAAGACCCCTTCTCTTTTTTTTTACAAACAAACAAAAAAATTTGGGCTAGGCGCGGTGGCTCATGCCTGTAATCCCAGCACTTTGGGAGGCTGAGATAGGCAGATAACTTGAAGCCAGGAGTGTGAGACCAGCCTGGCCAACATAGCAAAACCCTACCTCTACTAAAAATACAAAAATTAGCTGGGCGTGGTGGCATTTTTTTATAATCGCAGCTACTCAGGAGGCTGAGGCATGAGAATCATTTGAACCCAGCAATTTTTTTTTGCAGTGAGCTGAGATCATGCCACTGCACTCCAGCCAGGGTGACAGAGTGAGACTCTGTTTCCAAAAATAACAATAAAAAATACATTAAAAAATCCAGGCCCAGTGGTATATGCCTATAGTCCTAGCTACTTGGGAAGCTGAGGCAGGAGGATTGCTTGAGGCTGCAGTGAGTTTTTTTTGCACCACTGCACTCCAGCCTGGGTGACAGAGCAAGACCCTGTCTCAAAAAAATTTTTTTAAGTTAAATTAAAAAAAATTCACCATTGTGCCGAGCAGTCAGCATGTGCTCTACGCCAGCACTTCCTATACATGTATGAAGGTTGCATGCATGAAGCAGGTGCTGTTGTTACCTTTTTTTTAAGATGAGAAAACTGAGGCTCAGAGAAACACATAATCTACCTGAGGTCGGTCTTTTTTTATTCAGCGCTGGGCCACCCACCCCAGAGCCTGTGCCCTGACCACCACACATCCTGCCTCTCTGCACCCCTGCTGTGGTCAGCTAGTAAGCCGCACGACTTGCTGTTGTCCAGGTTTTTTTGCTGGAGCCAGCTGGATCATGTGATTTCCCTGGCCCCTTCGGTGCCCAGCATCAAGCCTCACCTACAGGCACTCTTTGGGCGGTTTAGGAAGGAAGGGGTCTGCGGCCGCCATTTTTTTTGGAGAGCAGGGCTAGGTTGGTTCTGCCAGCACTTGCATCCCTGGGCCAAGCGGACATCCAGCCCTTTGCTCTGCACTTCCTGGCTTCTCGTCCATATGCCTGCCGCGTGCCCCTTTTTTTGCTGCCCAGCCTGGAGCTGGCACATGACTGGCACTGAGCCATCTGGGCTGCGCACAGAGCTGGAATTTCAGCAGCAGGGCCAAGGCTGAGCTGAGCAGGCCAGGGCCCTCCTGTTTTTTTTGTGAGGCCGAGGGGGCTGGCACACCTCCCTCCTCCCCTGCATGCCTTCTCTCTTTTTTTCCTTCTCCTCCCCATCTGTCACCCTTCTCATGCCACCCTTTTCCTTTTTTGGGTTTTTTTGGTGGTGCCTGGATGCCTTTGTGCCCCTCTTCATCTGCTCCCATTTTCCTCGACCCAAACCTAGCTCTTCAGCCCCACTTTGCAAACTCAAGGCCCCCACCCATCCATGCCTGTTTTTTTAGCCCCCAAGGAAACCCCTGCTGATGGCTGTAGAGGGGCACAGCCTGGCCAAGGACTTTTTGGATCTATCTCTGTGTTTTGCCAAAGCTGAATCCTCGGACTGCCTGACAGTCTTTTTTTCACAGGGCCCCTCTGGATTTTTCCAGGCCTGGGATACTATAGAAGTCAGGACTGGCAGGGTGGTGGCAGACTTGTTCAGTGCACTAAAGGAGGCACGTTATTTGGTGGGGAAATTTTTTTTTTTGCATCTACTGCTGTCCAGCCATGGATCAGATAGGGCGGCCAATGAGCTTTTTTTTTCTGGCGGTATTCGAGCTGGAATTAGATGGCCACGTGCAATGGATAATACAGGGTTTTTTTTTTTGAGCAGGAAGTCCCTGTCTCACTTAGCTTCTCGTGTGACCTGAGGTCCAGAGGATCTCGGAGATCTCGCCAGCACCAGGGTTTGAGGAAGGTTCCAGCTGGTCCTACAGAGTTTCCTGAACTCACACAGAGGGCCAGTCCTTTTTCCAAGGGGTCTTCCTGCTTTTCTGATTTCTGCACCCATCTGGGTCAGAACAAGCCCTTTTGCTTCCTTTCTCCCTCCCAGGGTGTTTTTTTGTCAGATCGGGTTCCACAGTCCGGATCTAACTGCCCAGGCCACTTTGGAGTTGTTTTTTTATGTGGTCAGCAGCTGCTCCAGGCCCACTACGTGCTAATCCACCCGCAGGGCATTTTTTTGATCTTGTAAAGTGGTGCAAATCCCCCCAATTGGTCTCATCTGTCTTTGTCGGTTTTTTTGTTGGGGAGTGAAATGGGGCCTTGCAAGTCAGCGACTCTGCAAATAGCTCCTGTTTTTTTTGCCACTGAAGTCCCTGTTTTTTACCACCAGGAAAAATGTAAAAGGCAAATTCTTTTTTTGGACTCAATGTCTAGGCAGGAGGCCTGGGGAGCAAGGCAGCAGGCAGCCCAGGGCAGCGGAGGGCAGCTGGGCAGGGACAAGGGTCCTGGAACTTCCCCTCCTTAGACACAGCTTTTTTTTCTTTATCTGTTTCATGTTTTGGGCTTCAGTGTATGAGTCTATTTCTAGAACATTTTTTTCAGCTCTAAAACCATCTGAAAACCACCATCCTATTAAGTAGAGCATCTGCTAGTTTTTTTCTCCTGGTTTCGACTCATTCTGTGGTCCTGTGGCCTTGGGCATCCATACATTCTTTTTTTAATGGAGGTCCCATTTCTGGTCCCAGGCAAGCCGGGAAGATGAATAAGATGCCTTTTTTTGGTTGCAGGGGGAGGGTTTGTTATCCTCTATGTGGGTCCCTACTGCGGTGCAGTTTTTTTCTGGACTCTGCTTTCTGGACTCCCCAGGGAGCTCTAAGCCAGGCTTGCAAACATTTTTTTCTTGCCTTGCAGGGCAGGGCTTCCCTCCCTGGCCCTCAGGCAGTTCCAAGGACTTCTCACCTGTCAGCCTTCTATCCTCCCCTTCCACCCGTCTGTGGGACCCAGGGCCAGAATTTTTTTGCTCAGCAGTCCTCATCCCTGTGGCACACCAGCCAGCCTTTGCACACTGCTGGTTTTTTTGCCAAGGCCAGGATAAATGTGGCCACCACTCTACCCCTGGAGAGGGAGCCATTTTTTTTTCCTCAGCAGGCCAGACAGCAAGAAGGGCCCTGCCCATCCTGTGTGCAGCCCTCTTTTTTTCAGCCAGGCCAGGAGGACCCCCTGAGCCCTTTAAAAAATATTTCTCTGCCCATTTTTTTTTGAGCAGGCAAGCTCCGGGTAACTCAGTAGGGCTGCCCTCATGGTAGGGACCTTTTTTTTTTCTTCCAGCTGACTGTGCAACCCTTCTCCCGGGCCCTCTACTGAGCTCTCCTGAGGCCTGACCTAGGGTGCCACGTCTCAGGGTAGCCGAGGGGCATCTGTCGGCCCAAGTCTTTTTTTGCCCTCTGCTCGGCCTAGCACACGCCCTTCCCTCCTGCGCGCTTGCTCCTGCAGCTGCCACCCTTCAGCCAGGCATCTCCCTCCAGACCCAGCAGGCCTGAGAGCAACATGCCTTTTTTTTTCCAGGCAGCCCTGGGCTGGGGATGAAGCTTTCTGTGTGCATGGCAGAAAAGTTTTTTTCCTCAGCTTTGACACCTGACAAGGACCAGCTGCATCCCTGATGTTGCCCTCCCATCCGCTGCTCCAGTCAGAGACACTGGGGTTTGCCCTTGTCCCTGACCTCCAGAGGAAGGTTTTTTTACAGGGAATTTGGAAGGGAGATAACTCATCAAGGAGCCTGCCTGCTCCGCAGATTTTTTTATCAGCTGAGAAATAACAATTGTGTCACCAAAATTAACTTCGCATTTGCAGCTTTTTTTTGTGGCCCCTGGACTCTGCCAGTGGGCTGAGCTGGAAGCCGTGCCTGAGCTGGTCCTCCAACGGCCCAGCCACAGCCTGGGACACCCCAGGCCTCTGCATCCCCCACAACTCCACTCCCCAGCCCTGCCCTAGCCCATCTCTACCCTCCAGCCATCGCAGAGATGGAGAAGGACTTTTTTTCATTTCCAAAGGAGCAAACCCCTGCAGTTGCTGGGGGAAGGCGGGGCTCAGCGCAGCCCAGAGCAGCCCCTCACCCTTGGCCAACTTTCCCAGCCGGGCTGTGGGCTGCGGCGAGGACAGCGGAACGCTTGGGTGATGCTGCCCCTTAGTGGAGAGAAGCGGGAGGACCCAGGTTTTTTTAAGCACATGGAAAACCAGGGAACCTGGGACTGAAGGGACTATTTGGCCCCACCTTTTTTTTAAATCAGGGTCAGTGGCTTTTCCAAAACCCAGAGCAAGAGGAAAGGGCTGGATTTTTTTGCCCACAGCCACTTCTTCCCCACTCCCCCACCCAGCCCTTTTTTCATGTTCCCTTTTTTTTGTGTGTCTCTCCCCCAGCCCCCTGCATCCCTGTCCTCCTCCTTAACTAGGGATTTTTTTCTGGAGACAACTGTGGAGTGGTGTCACCTGGAGCATGGGGTTTAGTCTGGCACTTTTTTTAAAGTGCCGTGTGACCTTGGGGAATCGGCTCACTTCTCTGAGCCATAGTTGCCTGGAACATGGGGGTCCTGCAGTGCCTATCTAGTTTGAAAAGTCTGGTGCCTGGTACTAGCCCTTGACAGCTCTCCCTAAGAAGGTTCTTGACCTGTGAGTGATCACAGGAGATTGTTTGTTTTTTTTTTGGTTCTGTATATGGGTCCGGGGCAGTGAATTTATCTGTGGGTCTCAGTCTATTTTTTTCTAAGAGGGGAACTGCTCACCCTATGCTGGAGCAATGTTTATAAGCCCATTTTTTTTTTTGCAGCAATAAAATGTTCTGAGGAATGTTACTTATTAGGATATAGGTTAAAGACTTTTTTTTGTTTAAAGGCTTTGCTTTTTCAATTTTTAACCTCCTTTATTGAGATTTTTAATTTTTTTGGTTTTCCACAAAAGTACTGTCTCATTTCCACAGCTGAGAATCCAGGACACCTGCCCCTTGCTCCTGAAATCCCTGACTTTCCTTGCAAGAGCCAAAGCGCTTGCCACCAAAGCTCAGACCTTGGTGACCTCATGGCCAAGTCGCCTCCCCACGGATCCATATAACAAGTGAATTTTTTTTCTCCTCCAGATCGCAGAGACCTATGCCTTCCTCCCGAGAGAGGCTGTGACCCGGTTCCTGATGAGCTGTACAGAGTGTCAGAAGAGGATGCACTTTAACTCCAATGGCCTGGAACCCAAAGGTAGTGGGGGTGGCGTGCTGGAGGGCTAGGGCGGGGGCCGGCTGAGAGTAGACTGTCCCTGAAGATGCCAGCTTTTGCTGGCACAGAAAAGTGTCCAGCAGCTGTTATTGCTAGCCCCAGAGGCCAGTATGAGTCCATGGTGCTGCCCAAAGAGCCTCGTTTTGTTTTGTTTTTTTTTTTTTAAATCTCAAGTTTCACTTAAAAACCAACCATACGAAACGAAAAAGCAAACAACATGTTTCCCCTGCCTCGCGAGGCCCAGGACAGCCCCTCTCCTCACAGCCAGATTCCTTTTTTTAATGGCCAGCCTACCCTGTTCGCAAAGTTCCATCCATGCCTCCCACTGCTTCTTTTTTTTCGAGCCATGGTCTGGCCTGTACACTCCCTGAGACATGTGCATGCGTCCTCCCATTTTTTTACCTGCTAATGATATGTCTTCCCTGGTGCTTGTTTCCACCCTGTGCACACCCATTTTTTTTTTGATCAGTAAACCCATGGGGGGCTGATGAGAATTTTTTTTTTGAGACGGAGTTTTTTTCTGTCACCTGGGCTGGAGTGCAGTGGCACGATCTCGGCTCACTGCAAGCTCCGTTTTTTTGGTTCACACCATTCTCCTGCCTCAGCCTCCCAGGTAGCTGGGACTACAGGTGCTTTTTTTCATGCCCAGCTAATTTTTTTTTTGTATTTTTAGTAGAGACAGGGTTTCACTGTTTTTTTTAGGATAGTCTCAATCTCCTGACCTCGTGATCCGCCTGCCTCGACCTCCCAAAGCGCTGGGATTACAGGTGTGAGCCACGGCATCCGGCCGACTGGTGAGAATTTAAAATGTCCTTTTTTTGCTGGGCACAGTGGCTCATGCTTGTAATCTCAGCAGTTTGGGAGGCTGAGGTGTTTTTTTTGCTAGAGCCCAGGAGGTGGAAGCTGCAGTGAGCCATGATCATGCCACTGCACTCCAGCCTGGATGACAGAGCAAGACCCCATCTCAAAAAATAAATACAATAAAATGCCCAGTTTTTTTATGACCACCAAAGTTGGTCCCTTGGACCGACGTCCATGCCTTCCAGCTCTGTCCTGCCCAGTGAGACCAACAAGGACCTCGCTTCAGTACCCGCACACCCCCTCAAACTGAACTTTTTTTAGGCTTCCAGTAAATCTGGGGGCCCATCTGTTTGCAGGTGGCTTTGGCACTGTTTTTTTTCCCAGCACATTTGGCTGGTACAATTGTAACGCTGCCCTGAGAAATGGTGCCCAGGTGGGTGATTTATCAGGGTTTCCAGGACTGCCTGGTGCATCATGCCAGCTCCTGGGCATTGGGCCTTTGGAAGGTGCTGAAGTCAGTGGGTGTTTTGCCCGAGGATGGAGATAGACTCGTTTTTTTGGCGCGCCGTTTATCCAGGTGGCACTCAAGTAGCATCCATTGAATCTGGGGAAGGAAAAATCCACAGCAAAGCCTGAACAGACAACAAAGAATCAGGAGCATGGGCGTCAAGCGGGGCTTTCTGCTCGTGTTCGTTGTCCCTGACACACGTGAATGGCTTCTGACAGCAGCTGACTCACCAAATCCAGAGGCTCCCATCCCCTTGGGAGCCATCAGGCCACGGCTGTTTCATCTTTTTTTTGGGCCAACTTCAAAGCACGAGGGGCAGGAATGGATGTAGTTAATCCCTCATATTTTTTTGTTCCCATGTTAAGAACAGGGCTTCAGGGCCACACAGCCATTCAGTTACTGTGTGTCCTGGGCAAGAGACTTCATCTTTCTGAGCCTCAGTTCCCTCATCTGTGAAATGGGGTTTTTTTTAAGGCTGCCAAGATGTGAGTTAGTCCCTGTACTTGGCATTGGTACAGGAAGACTTTTTTTTGGCTATTGTGGTTCCTGTGATAACGCGGGACACTCCCACGATGCATGCCAGATTTTTTTATCCTGAATGCTGCTACCCACGTGGCCTGCCCCTGGCCAGGCAGCGGCTGCAATTTTTTTGCCAAGACAGCATTTGGTACCTGCAGATGGGCTGGAGGGCTTTCCCTGCCGCTTTTTTTTCCCTGCTGGGGTCTAGGCCACAGGGGCCAGGGGTGTGTGTCCTAGTGGTGGCTGCCTGGTTCCTGCCCACCCATCCGCCTGTCCCCTCCCGTTCCTGTCCTCGTTGTTTCCATTTTTTTTGGCGGAGTCAGACACAGAATTGCTTGCCTGGAGGAACAGAGGTGAAGCCAAGATTTTTTTCGTTTGTGGGCTGCTCTGGGGTGTCTGAGGCGCCATCCACTCCCCTCCCCTGCCACGCATCCCACTGCAGTGTGGAGGGCGTTCCTCAGCTCCCCCTGCACTCCTCACTGACGTTTTTTTGGTCTCCCCATGCTGCAGGCTGCACGCCTCATCTGCGGGCTTCTGTGTGGCCAGGAGGGCAACGCAGAGCACAGCAGTGGCCTGCTTCCTCTCCTCACTGGCTGCCACCACCATGCCCCACCCCCAGGGAGGAGAAAGAGGCCAGGGAGGGAGGGAGCACACAGGCCAGGAGCTTTTTTTAATATAAACCAGCGCTGTGGGCTCGCTGCTAAAGCCTATCTTTCCTGGGGCTTTTTTTTTGCCAGACAGAAGATGAGCACCATGCCCATTCTCACCCATCCTCCCCCATCCTCTTTTTTTATGCCACCTCTCTGTCCCAGGTAGCGGAGCTTCCCTTTGCAGGGTGAGGAGAAGACGCTGAGGGAGCAGGAGCCCAGGGAAGTGGCGCGTGGAAGGGCATGGCCTTGGAGTCAGGCAGGTCTGATGTGCAGCCCTGTTCCCCACTACGTGTCCCTCGGCAGGACAGGGAACCTTTTTTTTCAGCTCCTGATCATGACAGTTACGAGTATCCTATGAGGTGTTAGTCCTGGCTTTTTTTTTAGGAAACTGAGGCACAGAGAGGCGTTGAGGTGAAATCATTCATCCAGGCTCTCTTTTTTTATAGAAGTGCAGGCAGGAAACTGCATTTTCTCATCAGCAAAATGGAAGAAATGTTTTTTTTTCAGGGTGGTGAGGGTGAGCCTGTTGTGGCGGGTACCTGGGATGCAGCGGGTGCCTGGGGAGCATCACCCTGCCTCCTGCCTCCAGCCCGTGTCGTGGCCTGTGGTGCCCAGACACGAGGCTGCCAACGTCCAGGTGACCCCACAGAGACACAAGGTCTGCTTCTACCCAGGTGGGGTCAGATGTGGCCCCCAGTCCTGCCAGGCAAGCACGCTGGGTCCACACCCTGAACAGGGTTAGAAGGGAAGGGCTTGGTTTCTGGAAGCTGCCAGTGGAGAGTTTAGAGTCTGAAATTTTTTTCTGTCTGCTAAGTGGCCAGAGGCACTCGCCTCCTGGACCGTCCCCAGGTTCCCTTTTTTTTGCCCCCACTGAAAGCCTGCAGGTCCTATCTCTGCCCGCCATGCTGGCCTCTGTTTTTTTCTATATCCTGCTGTCTCCCAGGAACCCCTGCATTGCCAGCCCTCCCTTCTCCCTTTTTTTCTGCTGGGAAAGCAGAGCCTGCACCAGCCCCAGAGACAGGCCCAGTGTTCCTGTTTTTTTAAGGTGGGAGGGAGTGGGGACAGGGGACAGGATGGAGGCTCTTTGAGGGCTACTTTTTTTATGCCTGACTTCCTGGCCTCATGTTAAAAAGAAACAAAGGAAGTAGAGTGGCCTTTTTTTCTCAGCGGTCTCTCCCCAGCAGAGTGGGGGGGCCTGGACAGCCCCGTGCCCTCTTTTTTTGCCAGGAGCATAAACAAAGGAGGTGGCAGAGGATCAGGAAGTCTGAGGACGGGAAATTCCAGGGCCTCCTGACTCCACACTACTCTTCCACCAGTCCCTGAGGAGTTGAGGACAGAGCATGCAAACTGGGTGTGACTTCAGACCAACCCAGCTCTTGGGGAAAGGGACCTTTGTTTTTTTGTCTCTGTTTTCTTTGATGTGACAAAATATTGTTGCATGGTTGCAAACTGGGATTTTTTTATGGGCAGCAATGCTGACTCTTCCTCAGCAGGCAGGTTGTCCACTTGGGTCTC